AGGTTGTGTTTTTGTCATTGTATTTCATCACAGCGACGGAAAAGTAACTAATCCAAACAATAACAGAAAGCACAAGAAGAGCACAGACACAGATTGGATTTTTCTTTTTCTCTTTCTTTCTTTTTAATGGTGATACTTTATTTACTTTTTTTAAAGTTTATATATTTTATGTCTTGAAAACAAAAAGTTAATATTAGAGTACTACTCAGCGGTATTTACTTTTTTTAATGCATGGAATACATGTTTAGTATTGTGACTTGTGCATATATTTCATCTCAGAAATAGCCACTAGATATGAATATGTATCAATAGTCACAATTAAATTGCACTTGCTTCTTTTCTGATATCTCTCCTTTGTTGTTTTCTTTGTTTCTGAACTTTCACTAGTTTTTAATCTTATATTTTTGTTACACTTACAGATTTTTTTTTGAGAGAGGGTTTATCTATGTAGCTTTAGAACCTGTCCTAGAACCCACTCTGTATGCCACACTGACCTTGAACTCACAGAGATTCACTTGTCACTGCCTTTTGCGTACTGGGATTAAAAGCAAGTGCCACCACACTGGACTTCCTTTCAGAATTTTACATGATGTATGTTGATAATATTCGTTCCCACTCCACCTCTGAACTCCTCCAAGATCTCCTGTTTATCTCCCCCTTCCATCATTTTGACCTTTTATTTACTTTTGTTAGAAGACACTCTCTCCAAATAGGTAACCTGTTCTTCTGTCTCTTGCAATCATTCTTTTGTCACTTCTATTTGTTTTTCTTCAGTCCTTAGTTGTAGGAGTTGTTTTAGAGATGTTAAAATTGGGAATGTACACCGAAAAAAAAAAAAAAACAAGTTCCTCTTCTTGTATTTTGACCAGTTGTGGTTTTTCTGTAATAGTCTCCACCTGCTGCAAATAGAGACTTTTCGATGAACATAGATTTATTTGTGGGTCTAAGGCTAAGTATTTAGAGTGAAGTTAAAAAATATACTGGTTTAGGTTAATGGCAGTAGTAGGTTCTCCTCTAGGTTTCTTGGCCTCACAAGTCTGAGGTTAACAGTACCAGAAGCTTTTTCTCCCATTGAGTAGGATTAAGACCATTGGTTACAGCCAGGATATAGATACCAGTATCACAGCCTTTAGAATGTCTTACTGTCTGGTTATAGTTATGAGTATTAGGAGTTACAGCTTAATAGGAATATTGACTACTTTTTCCCCCACCTCTCTCCTGCAGCACACTTTCTGACAGTAGCCCTCAGGAAAGAGGTTTCCAAGTCAGATCCATTTTGTTTCCTCCAAGTCCTGTGTCTGAGGAATGTGGTGTTTTTAGCAATAAGGTTTTATTTTCCTTATCTGGAAACAATGACAATAACTAAAGATAATGACAATAATCGTATTGTTTAGGATTCTGTTGGACTACCCAAACTGATAACTGGAAAGGATTTTTGTGCCTGGAACAAGGTTTTATTAGAGAATTTCAGCATTTATTTGTGGGGGAGCATTGTTACTCTAAGGGGCATAACTTCAGTCTTTCTCTCTCATATATATATATATATATATATATATATATATATATTCCTCCTCCCTTTCCTCTCCTTCTGTATTGCCTTTCCTCCTGTTCTTCAAGAGTCTCTCCCTAACAAGTTTTCTTCCCACTTCCCTGTTCATGTTTCAAATTTGATTTTATAACCTCTTTCATGTTCACTTGGAAGAAGAAAATATTATGTAGAATATGCTAGAACTTTGATAGGTCCTTTTCTCATTTGGTATCTATCAGTACCTTCATTTCTCTGTTGAATCATGATACTACACACAGGTATCCATGTTTCCAGCATTATCACTTTAAGTAAACTTTTATAAACACATTCTCATCCCTTTATTGCTTTTCTTGTGACTATAGAATCATTTCTTATTCATTATAGTGTATCTGTTTTCTAAATGGGCCCTCTAGTAAATCAGTAGTATGGTTTTATTTTTTCAGTGTAGGCTTAAGGTTCTTATTGATTACTTCAGTAAAAGCAAGAATCTACAAATTGCATTAGCTGAAAAGATCAATGACCCATTAGACTGCCATTTTATAAAGACCTACACAAGATGCTTCAGTGCAAGGCCAGAAAAAGAATACGTTTCATAAAGCACCTGTCCAATTCCTCGATATTACACTACAGGGGGAAATTTTTCCCTGCCTCCAGCTGGTTATCATTTTATGCTTTGAAACACAAGGATTGATGACCCTTGTAATTTAAGCCTGGCTTGTAATGCTGAACATAGGTTATTATTTATATTCACATAAATGCCCATTCTATTGTTTTACTCTTCCTAAGATACTAGCCACTATAATTTTCAAGAACAGCAGGCTTCAAAAATACTTTAAACTCATTTTTTGAGAGAAAATAGCAGTTTTGAGATTAACTGAAACAAAACATAGCATGAGTTTATCTGGCAATGTGCTTTAAAGTACTGTCTAAATATGAGAGATTAAAAAGAGGAAGCTGGGTGAAAGGAAGTCATGATAACGACTTTAATAATAATACTAATCCTTCTAATGTATTGGAGGTAAAGTCCATGTTACACTGCATACTCTACATGTACTCTGCTACTGAAGTACGATCCCAGCCACTATGTCCTGTTTTGTATTTGCAATTTTTATGTAAGAAAAACATGACCTGATTATTTAATCTGATTTGTTTTCTATCTAATATTTGTATTTTCTTTGTCAACATGCTGAAAAGAGCACAGAGATAGTACTCAGGGGCCTGAAATTTTAAAGCTTTACTATTGGTCCAATTTGGTAGGGTTAGAGAACTAATTCGCATAAACTATGCCATCCTCATCATCTACACACAGTGATGCTTTGCTAATTTTGGCTGTCACCTTGCTTATAATGGAAGTTGTCTAAATTGGGAATTCATTTTTCAGTGCTTGTGTGGGTATATCCTTCTAGAGGACAATAACTAAGGGAGAAATGTCATCCTGAATTAGTGTTATTATGCAGTAGCTTGCCAATGGATGAAATAAAAGAATGAGGGAGGAAGCTTGTTAGAGCTCACTTCCTCTTTGCTCGGTTCCTTCCTCTCTTTTTTTCTCTCCCTCCATGTTTACCTTCCCTCCTAACTTTCTCCTTCATCTCCCCTTCCTCTCTCCTCATATCTTGGTCACCATGAGGTGAATAACTTAACTTTACCATGTTCTACTGCCATGATGATTTTTTTTTTCAGCATAGGCCCAGAAATACTATGAGTCACAATAAACTCTTTGCTTTCTTAAGTTGTTCAGTAAGTATTTCTACACACCAACTGTAAGAATAATTGAAGTACTGGATCCCTCTTTGGGGGATACCTAAGAAGAATCAGTCAACAATCGAACCTAGAATAGAAAATAAGCATGCAAGGAGAAATGTACATTAAGGTTAATGTGAACAACAGTAAATTTAACCCTAGAATGTGTGAGCTTCAAGAAGTTTGCTGAAGAAAATGATATAAAGAATAAAAAAGAGTATCGAAATAATTGCTTAAAAATACGGATTATCTTTTATTATGAGAATCCAAATAAATATTTTTGACTGAATCAAATGATTATTGTTTTGTTCTAGAGTTCTAATGTTTCCTTTCAGTCTACTTGAATCATAGCATTTTTTTTAAATCACAGCATTTCTTATTTCTAAAATTTAGCATCTCATATAAGATAAAAAGTTATAGATAGTTTTGCTTTATTTTAAACACTTTTATTTTTAACTACAGATCCTATTTTAATCAAGGAAACTCATAAGAACATGAGATCTTTTTCTTTCAGTCCAATTCAATACCAAATGCAATTGTCTAAATTACTAATCAGAATGGATACAAAATCAAGTAGAATTTGTAAAAACAGCTGCCACACAATCTTAAGAAAGAAGAGCACTTCCCTGGTGCATGATACATCTAATTTAATACAAACTCTGTAGAGTATTCAGACCTGAAATGTGCTCACTGTATCACCTTTGCTGTTATAATCACTTTTCATTATAAGTTGGAATTGAACAGTTACAAAGCAAGCACGATTTTATGGCTAACCACTCAAGATCTTGAAAGAGTGAAAATAATATAAAATCTTAGAGATAATGTTATTTTTGAATGCACATGAGTTTCACCTTTCTTACCCCTAGGGAAAGAAATGTCCAGGGAATTCTGTTGTTAGCAAGAAGAGTCAAAAGGCATCAATATAAATTTTTTTTCTAATATGATTCACACTAATTAACAAAGAGCCCAGGTAATTCAATGCAATAATTTGCATGTGTGTGAGTAACATTTGGTGCCTAGGCATTCTACCTTTCTACAGTTATTAATAACTCCTTTGTTATTCACTCCTCCTAAATCTACCTTCATTCCCAATCCTCCAAATTTTTGTCTCCAATTTTTAAATCATTCGAGTCAATTTAGTGTTTTCCATATACTCTTAAATGGATGCACATCCACTGAAATGTCGACTATGTATCAAGCGACACACCCTTAGAGGGAATTGACTCTTCCTCTCCCAGCAGCTATCAATTAACAATAGTTTCTCAGCTAAGAGTAGGATTTCATGCCTGTCTATCCTGTTTAAGCTGGAATTATGTCTAGCTTGAGCTTGAAAAGGATTTATGGACGCTGCGAACATCACTGCATTTCTATGTGCAACTGCCATTTTGTATCTGGAAAGCAAGCCTCTCATTTGCAATGAGGATGAGTGGCAATCTAGATGTCTTGTTTAGAATTAAATATTCCACAGTTTCTTATTCTCCTAATCTTGTTCAGTTGTGGGTCTTTGCGTTAACTAAAATCCACTGCAAAAAGAAATATCTATGATGAATGTTAGTAGATATTCTATAATAATCTATGGGCATCCTGCTAAGTGATAGGAGTTGGTTTAAACACATGCCCTGTTAGTAGAATGAAAGTTGTAACTTCTGGCGGGCCTCAGTGCTGCCCGCCAGGCGTGAGGAGAGGAGAAGGGAGGTCACCACCTGAAGGTGTATTCTCTGCGGTTGCACCGGCTGCCTCGGAGAGCTGCAAGAGTTGGGGACAACCATGTCCTACTGCCAGCAAGAAGGGAAGGATCGGATAATATTTGTGACCAAAGAAGACCATGAAACTCCTAGCAGTGCGGAGCTGGTGGCTGATGACCCCAATGATCCCTATGAGGAGCACGGACTGATACTGCCCAATGGAGATATTAACTGGAATTGCCCGTGCCTTGGGGGAATGGCCAGCAGCCCCTGTGGGGAACAGTTCAAGTCTGGCTTTTCCTGCTTCCACCACAGCAAAGAGGAAATCAAGGGATCAGACTGTATAGACCAGTTTCAAGCCATGCAGGAGGGCATGCAGAAATAACCGGACCTCTATCCCCAAGACGAGGAGGAGGAAGAGGAGGCAAAGCCAGTTGAGCAGATGGAGGAAACAGCTGCTCCTAAGGCCTCTGCAGCCAAAGAGCAGGAGTCAAGCTCCTGAAGGCCACAAGCCCTGGCTGCCACTCACCATGAGACTTTCTGTACAATGCCTTTTGGTCACCTCTGTGAAAGATCCTTTCCTCTGTGCACTGTAATGTACAAAATAACTTATTTTAATGATCAGGGGTCTTGGCTACTTGCCATATACACTGAAGAAAAGAGGTGTGTACACCTATGTCCTGTGTAAACCTGTCCTTGAACATTAAGCCACTGCTGGATGTACTCTGTGATTGCCCCCGATTTTGTCACTTTGAAATACAATGCTGTGGCTTCTCAACAACCAAAAGTTGTTACTCAGGAAAGTTCGTCGTGAGAAAGCTGACTTATTCTGACCTTTTATATTCGATTTGGTATATTTTACACCTCTTTGGGAAATTAAGTAGATGCCAAAACTCCTTCAAGAGTAGGTCCATTCCTATTGGAAGAGGCTGGTGGTCAGATGCTTGAGTTAGAGTACATGGGACTGCTACCTTGATCCTAGCTCCCAAGTTTCTGTGCAGTCCAGACTCCAAGGTGTGTCTACAGTTGCAGGGTGGGATTGAACTCAGTGACTCCCAGTCTATCCTGAGTGAAAGGAGAGGCGTGGCTTTCGCTTTATTGTTTTGCTGTTCCAAAAGCCCTGGTTTGGGGCCCATGTTCACTCGGTCAAGTCAGTTGTGATATTGATGTGGGGACCTAGCTGCTTCCAGAGCAGAAGCCAGCAGAGGAAACATCTGAATGAAGTACTCAATTAAAAAGAAAAAAAAAATGTCTGATTTAAAAAAAAAAAAAAGAAAGTTGTAACTTCTTACCTAGGGCTCATGGCCTGTTTAGCTATAAATTGTTGACTCTGGCAGCAGTGCCATCTTCTGGAGCTGTATTTAAATGTGTTAAGAAAGTTTGTGGTTACTCCCATTATATTTATGTCACTACTACCCCCATAGGCATACTTTGTCAAAATGGTCAGGATTAATACACTTTTATCATCTGTTAGCATGCATAGCACCTTAGGAAGCAGTCAAAACCAGCCAGAGAACATGATTTCTCCATGATACTGAAGAAATCTGTAATACTGTCTTAATGTCAACTTCTGGAGGGGTCAAAAATATTGGCAATAGCTTGCAATATTTACAGATCAATGAGACCTCAAAGGGGAAGAACTCCATTAAAGGTAATTCATTTCTGGCACTGGAATTGTTACCTGAAGTGTCTAGAAAAGACAGTGTCTCTCCATTTTAGTTTCACTCCATTTTAGCTCTTTTTATATGTGCATGTATAGATTTTATGAAACTGTTAATAATAGGCTGACATATTACTATTTGAGCTGCTTTTATTTTAGTTACCCTTACCCCAATACCTTCCTATGCTATGCTTTCCATTCTTTGTATCATTTAACCCTTCTGATACCCTTTTCCCCCTGTGCAATCTTTTTACCATTGTTTTTGTTCTATCTCCCATCCCTTGAAACTTTCCCCACAGCGCAGCATCATCTTACTATTCTGATCTTTATAGGTTCTTTATAAATTATATAATTATATCATATATTATATATTATATAATCCTCATGAAGAGCTCACATCTGAATATTCCTCACTAATAACCAGACATGAGAGGATATGTATGTCATGTTTGTCCTTCTGAGTCTGGATGTGCACAATTTTAGTTTCCTCACTATAAAAATTTTCAAAATGCTTAATACTTTATGAGCAGCAAGATTCTTATGGGAGGGAAGTGAACTTTGTGGTGTTTACTAAACTAACATGAAAACAGATTTCTTTTCTGAATGGGGTAATTTTTCCATGCATTATTATTTTGTGTACTGTCTACTCTGTTCACTCATAATGCCATGGACTAATTACTGATTATATTCATTTATAGCTTGCATAGGTTTTAGAAATGAATATCTACTGAGAAAGTAGTCAAGTGATTAGAATAGAAAGCAAAGCAAGTGCACACTGGACATTTTTCCAGAGTTTGCTTCATTTCCCAGCCTTGCCTTCTGCACATGCCTGTAACACGGAACTTAAGATGTCTGTACCCTTGCAATTCCTGCAGGCTGAAATCTCAGTGCCTCTGAAAGGACTGAGCCATACTCAGTGACAATGTAAACTGTTGCTTTGGTGTCAGCATGGAAGGCTCTTTTGTGCCATGAACAGCTCATCTGTGCCTTTCATTTTTAGCTGAATTCACCATGAAATTTCTTTGGTATGAATTCTTGCTTTGTCTTAGACAGGAACTGTGCATGTCCTTCCAAAATTAATACGATCTCTGTAATCGGCAGTGTGCTGAATTAAGATGTAGCCTTTAGGAGTCAATTGGATTGTGATTACAGATCCATGACTGGGGCTAGTGCTGCGATAAAAGAGGCTCCTAGCAACAACATGTTCTGTAGGTTCTGTGCAAACACAGATAAGAGGCAGCCACTGACGAACATGAAATGAGCCCTCTCTAGAAACAACCCATGCTGGCACATTGATAGTGGATTTCTCACACACCAGGGCTGTTAAAAAAACAAGTTTCAGGGATTTTATTAGGTGTGTGTGAGCATGTGTGTGTGTGTGTGTGTGTCTATGTTCTGTGTGTCTGTGTCTATATA